ATATTTATTTTAATCCTCATCAAACAAGGGTTTATTGTGTGTTTTGTTATAAAAGATGTTTTTTAAAGTTCAACGCTCAAAATTTGATCATTTCAAAGTTTAGTAGCCCAAATTCGACAACTTCGCAGTTCAGTGAGTAATAGAATACGTTTTTCAAAGTTTATTAATTATCAAATATATTTTTCAAAGTTTAGTGGGCAAAGTTTGACAATCTCAAAGTTTAATGAGCAATCAAATACGTTTTTCAAAGTTCAGTGATCAAAATTCGTCCATCTCAAAGTTTAACAATGTGACGTGATGCCACATGTGTATTCCATCAGCCACATCACCAATTTCGATAGAGGTTATAAATGAATGTTATACCGGTGAGTAACGTCCAATGTTTTTTCAAAGTTTAATGGTCGAAACTCAACATTTAAACTTTAGTGAACAATTAAAGATGAATTTAAGTTCAGTGACTATTGAAACAATTAACTCGAAATATATCCAATGGAGATTTTCATGGCTGACAAATGGCTGACGTGTGCATGGTGGGTACTTGGTTTGGCTAGAAACTGGGGAGTGGGCTAATCAATTCTGGGGTGGGCTTGGGCGGTGGGGAATCATTGTGGTCGGTCGAAAGTTTTCACGGCGCACATTCTTTATGACATATTTGTCCTCTTGTCTTTCTGCTTGAAAAAAAAAAACTTTATATGAGAGAGATTTTCTTAATTTGTGGATTTCCTAGAAAAAAAATTAAATAGATCAGAATATTTACAAAGCTTATGTTTGATTTAACTAAAAATTAGATTTTTAATAAATTCGATAAAAATTGATAAAATATTTGGGTGAAAATTAAAAAAAAAATTGTGTGTCCTATAAAATGTACAGTTGATAAAAACGAGGAAGGACTAATTTTTTTTTTTTATTTTGATTTTATTGGTAATGCTGATATTATTGATTTGTGTTAATAAATTATCTATAAATTTATTAAATAAAAACAAATCTACGAATTTTAGATTGTTATGTTCGATTTAAAGTATTCTGCCCTCATAGATCTGTGGCAATTAGATACGAACTACAATAGAGGTGTGATGCATCGCTTCAAATAATAACTGTTCCGTGGGATGCCTAAGGAGAAGACCTATGGCAGATTTGATAATTACTGTTCCAAGCGAGGCACCAAGGGACTTGACTCAATCATCTCGAAAAGGGCTTGTGAGTGGGGCATTGTGGAGAGGAGTGTTGACCATTACTTGCCTTCTACTAGTATTTCTTTTTCACTAATGTCGTGTAGTCCTACTGGGGTTGCCACACTAGTTTAGTTGACATTGGATGATAAGCTAAATTAAATGTGAAATTAAATAACTCATTTAATTTCACTTATCATTTAATATCATATTAATGCTACTTAAATTGAGGTTACAATCCGAGTGGGGATAAATAGTATTGTTCTTTCTTTTTACATGATTTTTTACTTAGTTGACTGTCACTTGACTTGTAATTTGTTGCAAATAGTTTTAGAGTAACTATAAAAATAGAAAAATATTTTGATGTACTCAATTATTTCACCTTTTTCCTGAACTTGTTTATAAAATTGAATTTAAGCTATATGAAACTTATTTTGAGTTAGCTCATTTAAATTGAAACACTCTTTACACTAAGTCATTAACATTAAGGTTACATTAACAACCTGTTTGGTTTGGATAAAAATCTAATTTTAATTTAAGTCAAAGTTATACAATCAATATTAACCACATTTTTTATGGGCCACAACTTTTCAAGCACACATTTCAAAATCTTCTATCACAGTCTATTAAAAAATTTAATTTTAATCCCCACAAAACACCCTCTAAACTAATAATGCTTTCGAATTTTTGGAGGACCTAATCCCAAATTTGGTCCTTTATCTGAGTTGTATACAAAATAATATAAACCAATTAGTTCATTTATAAACTAATTAATTAAGATTAGACAACTGTAATATATTCATTTCATTATTCATTTCTATTGATAAAAAAATATAATGTTAGTAGAATATCCCTTCAAAATATAACCATTGTATGCCACATTAGATAATTGTTGTATCAACATACTACAACCTTAAAATAAGATTAGACCATTATAAAAGGAATTTGATCATGGAATACGAGTTTAAAATTGATTCTTCGTAATCGATGATGGTTGATGGGGACAATCGATAAATAGTCATGAAGAGGAGTCTCCATGCTCCTAAAACACAAGTATTTCAATAAAGATAATAGCCAATTAATAATTTTCGCTCCTTTAATTAGTTTGCAAAGTTACTCAATTTGATCGTGTATAAGTGTAAAATGAGTTAGATTGAGTTGCTTTTCAGATAGGCTTGATCCATGTCGGACTTTAGATGAACATATCATCGGGTGTACCATTTTAAAAATTGTTTCCTTTTCAAATAATTTTCAAAAAAAGACAAAGCAAAAAAATTACTTCTAAGATTAAGAAATTGTCTTCGGACCTATTATGATAATTTTTCGGAAGTATTTTCCTAGTTAGAAAAATTGACCAAAGCGAGCTCTTTCATGTAAAATAGAAGCAAAATCATATAACGCAATCTTTTCTCACTCCTTAGCTTAAATTAGATGGTCTAGTCTTCATTTACACCTCCAATCGTACCATGGTCTTTAGATCAGTTGTTTATAGAATGAGATATAAGGGTGGTTGGTGAAGGTAATAGTCACAAATTTAAAATTCATACAAGCACGCGTCTTTTAGATAACGCACAAGGACAACTTAGAGCTGCCTATTGTCGACTCATAAAATAGTGAAAATTTTCTCACCGTCAAAAATGTATATACTTAAATTTGGCGCATACAAAGAAATGTAATTTATAATACATTTGGGGCATATGATTGTCATTAAAAAATAGTTTCTTGTTGTTCAATTTAATGATATTCGATTTAACGTACTAAACTATATAAGTGATATATCTTTGGGACGAGCATTATGTCCTATCCCACCTCTCAAAGAAAAAAAAAATGAAAGAAAGAAACGCAAAAAAATGTGGTAACTTTATGAAAAGTTTTCTTTAATTTTTATTTTCAAAAATAACTTGAATACATTTAGCGCTCTATCTTTTATTGCACTAAATAAATTTGGTGAGTAAGGCACCGGCAAAATTCAATTATTTATGGTCAAATATATAAACACGTGTTCTATCTTCAATTGCAATAAATACATTTGGTGAGTGGGTGCATAGGTAAGGAGTAAATAATGTTGTCATATTCTTTTATGAAGAAACTACTTGGTTTTCAAGTGGAGAGCCTATAAAAAAAAAAAAAAAAAGAATAATGTTATTTGCAGTCGTTCACTGCGACAGTCATCTTATGTGACATACACATGACAGGTGGTTATTTGATATATTAATGAATAAAAAAAACTACCATATTAATGTATCAAATAATCATTTGCCATGTGTATGTCACGTAGGACGACTACTGCAGTGAACGACTACGAATAGCATTACTCATAAAAAATGGTTAAAATTTTGTTCATTATAATCGTCTGATGCTGTATATTAATGAGAAACCGAATTATATATGATTAAGGTATTTGTACATTTCCGACATAAAATTTGAAATCTTGAAAATATTTTTTGAATTGGTTATCATTAGCATATAATACTCATAAACGGATAGTTTGAAATTTTTTTGAAACTTATATTTATAGACGTTTCATTTTTAAAATTTTTGAACAATATAAGTTTTGGCTGTGTAGGTAGTAGGATTAATTTGTATTTATAAAAGCAGTTACATTGGACGAGTAGAAAGTTATTTTAACTTGGCCTTATTCTCTTAAAAGAGTTTGGTGAATTTATTAATCATTAATACCATGGATTAGGTTCAACTACAAAATGTGTCCTGATTGTTTGATTTTATTGCACAATTCCTCCGTTACACACACACAAGAAAATATAATTAGATTCATGAAGGTATCTCAAGCTATTTTTCTATGACTTCTAAGTTGGACTTTTCTTGCGTGCAATGTACATCAAAATCCTATTAGTTGTTATTGCTAGAAAAAATGAGTCGAGTAGAGATCAACATAGAGTTGTTCAAGCTCAACGCAATGTGTTTGATGAACTTACCAAATTCCATGTTTTTCCAAATTATAATTAGGTACCATAACTAGTGACTCTAATATTGTCATTTTGGAGCGCATTGACATCTTGATAAAATTCAAAAAGTACTCGCATAATTAATATATCAACCTGTAAAAAGTGTTAACTTTTTAAATCATAAATCAATCATTACTATTTGCATTCTACATACACGTACTCACAATGCGTACTTTGTATCTTTAATGAAGTACGCTTAATAAATTGATTTTTGATAATTCGATCTACATCCATGCACACGGACTTGTCATGACTAAAATCTATCTCTTTCTCCAACTCAAGTGAATCTAAATACCGAAACAATTTTGTAGACAATTTGATTGACCTAATCACATAACATTAACGAAGTACTCTTGATAAATTGAGTTCTAACATCTCGGCCTATATCCATGCGCACGTACTTGTCGTATGAAGACCAAAATCTAACTCTTTCTCCAACTCAAGTGAATCTAAATACCTAAACAATCTTGTAGACTATTTGATTGACCTAATCATGTAATAAGCCCTTGTTTCACAACTATTTTTACACACACAAAAAAAAGGAAGAAAAAAGAAAAAATCTTTTCAAATTGATTTTCAACCACACGTTCTTATAATAAAATATTCCGCATGTAAAAACATTTTTTTTATATT